TGAGCTGTATAGGAACGGTGGCAGTTGATTACCGAGAATTCAGGTTAAACTAGTATTTTACCCTTCTAGTAGATGTTGTTTTATTCTACAGCCCTAAATACTACTTTATGTTTTTCCTTTAATGAAAAGAGTCACAAAGTGTGTCTCTGCAGTGCAAATAGAGGTGTTTGCATTGGCCATGTGCCCATGCTGAGTGATGCAGAGAATGAGAACTTTAGAATGCCAGGGTGACTGCAGTCCCTCCAACAGTATCGAGATCTCACAATTAGCAGTGCTTCTGGCATCCAAGTTACATGACTTCAAATTTCTGGGTTTTCCATCAAAACCGTACAGATGAAATGGTGTGCTGCTGATGAACCTGTAGGCTACTTTGTGAAGCACAAGATATGAGTCTCTGCATATAGGTTGCCATGGGAATGATAAGGGTCAAAGGCTGAAGTAGCTAATTTAATGAAGGGGGTGCGTATAATGAAAGCCGTCTTTCAGCTTGTGAAGTGTAAACACACTCCTGACTGTTATAGCATTATGTCGGCTTCCCCGATAGGGTTAAATCATGGACTGCCTTAGAACATACTAAGCTTTCAAACATATAAAACATATAAACAGAGTTATGCCTCTGTTCTAATGGGCTGTGCTAGGAAGGTTAGAATGTTTTCTGCAGATTCTAGTGCAAGTAATCACGATATTTGGGTTTTGGTGGAGGGTTTGTTGGGGGTTTTATGAGATAGAATGTTGCCCATTTGAGGTAGCGGGAGAGTTGTTGAATTGATTGTAGAGAATGGTTTTAAAGTCTCAGATGTATTTGCTTTGATAGTAGTTTTGAGTATGATTTGTTATTTGTAAAAACTGAAAATGTGGATCTATTTTGGGAGTGATGGAAAATGCAAGGCTCCACAATGGCGTGGTTTGGTGTCAAAAGTAATCTCAAGACAGAGGCCATGTTAACTAAGGGCAGATTACTAGCTCTCCTAGCACTCCTATAACTTCCTTGATTTCTGGCACATGTGACTAGAACATGCACATTATCGCAGGGGAGGAAAATGCCTTTCCCTGAGATCTCATGAGATTACAGATGAGATTTCCCAGCAATGCTCCGCTGATGACAAGGCAATCCCAGTGTGCATTGCGTTGGCAAACTGAAGTCATTTGCACTTTCATAGCAGGAAGTGAATGCCCTGCAAGTGTAAGTATTTCAAAATCACAGCTGTTTATACCTGACATGTTTATGTTATTATTAATCATCATACAGAGAGGGATGCATTGGTAGAATTTAATTTTTCAGTGTAAAGGCCTGCTTTAAGACAACCTTTGGCCTAAGGGACTGTACGTGCTCTCTGGGAAAATCCAGGGATTCTTGCATCTACTATGCAGACCTTGGAAAGTTTTCTAGATTCTACTTCAAGACCGGGAAATGGTGCCTTGCCTTCGATAATTTAGGCAAAACCAATCTCAGTAAATGAGGTAGTTCTGGACGGCTTTAAAGCCAAGGAGGGCTGCTGCTTGCAGAAAGTACTTACTGGCATTGGATTAAGTGAAAACATTTGATGAGGTAAACCATGAGTATCTGTGTCTGCTGCTTGTTATAGATGGCCTACAGGGAAGAATTATAGATTGGCTGAAACATTATTAATGGCTGAGAGCTTCCCGATTGTTAAATGTTGAGTTGGTCGACATTTTGAAGTTTGCTCTGATATGTGCCAGAGCCCCCTGCTATATGTATTTGCAATCAACCCCTTTGTAAGATGGTTAGAGGGTGCATGATTGTATGGGGTGATTTGGGGCATCACAGATGAACCTCGAGGGTTGCAGCCTATGCAGATGAAGTGTTTATTATTTCTGGGACACAGGTGCAAGGTGACCTAGAGATGGCCAACCCAATAGTTTTCTTTTCTCTGTTCTGTCAAGTACAATCTTGGAAACGTGTTGAAAGAGAACCTGATAAGATGGGTGGGTGTTTTTAATTTCTGGTTTAGACCTTTTCTGCAGTTCTGGGAAAATTATGTCAGTTAGGCATGGTAAGCTCAGGGCTTATGTTGCCCCGTGTCTAAAAATACTTTGGCAGTGGATGATATGAAGTCCCTTCTCCAGGCAGCCACAGTAGAAGAGGATTGTGGGTACTGCTTTCAGAGAGCCACTGGCCTTGATTGCCCAGGTTTTATAATGAGAGAAGGGTTGCGTTTAATACATTTGGAGAATCCCTTTATGGTTTAGAGATCTAGCCAGGCTCACTATCCATGCTAAGCTCTGTTAAGAGAACTTGAAGTATGTCATCTGGATGATTGGGATTGTTCTAGAGCTCAGATAGATGACATTAGCACTCCAACTGTTGTAGAACTACAAGTCCCATAAGTCATTGCAAGACTCACAGCCACGGCTTCCAGAGGCACAAAAGGTTTGTAGTTTCACAACAACTGGAGTGCTGAGATTGCCTTCACCTGTCCTAGACTTAAATGTGTTTCTGATGAGTTAATTGGGCCATTTCTTGCTTCAAATCCCCTTTACCTAGAGGTGTATAAAATGGTGGGGAAGACTCCGGGTATTCTTTTTCTTTATCATAGGAGTTATGGAGACTGGGTGTATGAAGATTCCTAACTCGCTCAGAATTTGATTTGGATATACTGTGTATATATATATATTTTTTTTTTATTCTTTATTTTGAAAGGCTTTCATAAAGACAAAAAAAATACAGTAAAACATAACGCATAAGTAACACCAGAAGAAGTAGGGATACATTATTGGATATACTTTTTGTAGTTAGTGATTTGTTACATCACACAGTGTCAGACATTCTTGCGGGCATAAAGTTCTCCCGGTTGAGGTGTGGTGCGGTGCATGGCATTCTGGGTAAGTTTAGGAAGATTCAGGCTTCTCAAAGTAATAGGGAGCCTCAGGAGGTCTGGGTAAGGGCATGGAGGAATGTCAGACAACTTTTGGTGAACTGTCTTTCTTTGGGTGAAATGCTTTTTTTTTTTTAGGCTTTTCTCTTTTCTTGCATTATATCCCTTTTTTGAAGAACTGCTGTGTGCATAATTAGTAAGGGGTTTCCCTTACCGCACAGTCTTGTTGTTTCATGTGTTAAGAATGTGTTTTCCCCCCATAATTAGGGATGCACCGATACCGGTATTTTGGTACCGAGTAAGAGTAGCGATAATTTTTTTTCGGTACTCGCCGATACCAATTACAGAGTTACGGAAATCCCATTCAGGAAGCCAGGTGGTGTGTAATGACCCAGCCGGAGCCGTCTGGCCGGCCTCAATGGTTTCTTGCACCGGGGCCCTGGGGTTTCTAGTTACGCCTCTGGTTACCAGAATAGAGAGGGTAAATCTCCTCAGAGAAACCGACCGCTACAAAGAGGTTCTAGCTTTTCCCCTTACTTTATCCAAAACTTAAACTACGAGTGCAGTAACCCATAGCACCAAAGTTCCGTTTGCAGATATCAGAGTAAAAATGTATTAATGTTCTGTGTAAACTGGATCGCTGTAGGTCACCAAACAATTTCCAAATAAAACTTTAAAACATTGGGTGGATACCTTTTTCCTGAGGGCTGTGGCAGGTGGGAACCCCTTTTTAATGGCTACCTGAAGGTGATCCTAATCAAGCAGTGGTCTCAACCCTCGTCTTTCATGCAACAACTACGTGAAATATACAGTAGGTTTTATGAAGTGACACTCTTTTGGCCATCTTCAGTAGTAAGGCAAGAATTACAACAGATTACACTGAATTTGTCAAAGAGGTTTATTTTATTTACATTCTTCATATGTAACAAGTATTTGAAAATCAGAAAAACCAACACTAAGAGAAAAACAAATATTTTATTGTCCTCTTCCACTGACTGGCAGTTTAATATCTGACATATTCCTTTGGCATTAGTTTAATATAAGCCCACCTATTTTAATTTAGTAGTCAATTAATGCTAATCTGCCCCAGTTTGACAGCCTTCAGAACTCTTTTTTTTTTTTTTGAAAGACTGCTGCTTCTTTACACCTTTAATTCCTTACAAAAAGAAGAAAACACAAGTCCATGCTCAGAAGTAAAAGTACAAACGTTTACATAAAAATGAACTAATTAAATTAGCTAAAGATAGGAAAACGTAAAACTCAGGAAGTGGCTTTGCCCAAACAATTTCCTTCAGAGACAGCAACAGAGCTTTCTGTTCCTGGTACACAAATATATTCTTTTATGTGCAAACTCAACTTTTTTTATTTGTACAATAGGACAAACAGAAAAAGCAGTGGTAAATGATCTTTTGATTAAAGTATGCGTAAACTGTATTGTGGTGTTAGTAAGTCATAAGTCTGACAACTAACGATCATTAGTAACTGCAAAGGCAACTATGACTCTTACTATATTAAGAAATAAATAACACCCAGACATTTTTCTGTTCTATTTTAGGCTTGTACAAGAGAATGCCAAGTACCTAATCCACCTGTTCACCTCTTAAAAATCACTATGTCTGTTGACCGGAGGACTGCACTTGTGGGAACTACTAAAACAAGTAGCACCACGATATCAAGGAAGTCCCGTTTCTGATCTGGGGCAATGAGAATTATTTACCATATGCTTCAATATAATCTTTTATAGGTGGCATCAGGGATTTGGGTATGAGGAACTGTTTTCAGGTACCCTATTTTGACACCTGTGTAATCAAAGCCTTATAAGGGAACAATTAGAAATGTCTGTTACATGACACAGCCCAATTAGAAGCAGCAGTGGTGCTTTCATGAAAAAGGCATGATAGATATCCTGTCATGTTATCTCAGGCACTGTAAGGATGCAATGCGTAAAACAGAACTGCAATAACTAGTCAAGAAGTAAAATAAATTAAAAAAGGTTAAAAATGTGCCTTATTGTACAGCTGTGATATGCAGAGGGACATAATCTACATACAAAAGATCCACAAAAATGTTGTTCAACAAAGTGAATGGCCATACTTCTTTAGAAATGTCACAAGTTGCTGTTTTAACAGAAATGTGACCCATAGCCATTGTTACGTGAGAAAAAGCAGTTTAAAAAAACCGGGATCCTTCAAAATGGATTTGATGTCCACACTATAGTCGTAATCAAGTCAATGGAAAATGTTGCTTTCAGTGCAAAGAAGATATTTTTGGTTTACATTCAGACACATCATCATTCAGCTATTTTCTTCTGATCGTCAGGTAGATTTAAGCCTCGCAATGACTATATTGCACTTTAGGAGTATCAGGCTCGAGTTTCCTAAAGCAAAGTAGTAACAAATAGTTAGGAACATTATATACAACATTTAGGAAAGTAACATACTGAAGCCAAAGAACTAGCAAGGAATTGTATAAGAAGAGGACCAAAATCATACAAGAAAAACATGGACAAAATCAACTTTTAAAAGTTCGTGGATAGCTGAAATCAAGCCCACAAGAACAAAGTGCTGCAATATGAAATTTACTGATTCTTAGTCTGAACCAAAATATCTGGGAAATGGAAGAATGACTGCAAAATTCTTGTGGTCTTAAATCGCCAATCCAGGATTATACAAAATGATCCCAACGTACACATGCTGTAAACCATTAAGCAAGAGTCTTTAGATAAGCAGCTCATTGTGATCACGGAACACTGGATTATTGTTATGTACAGAAGCACAGAGATGGTTAATAACAGTAGTTAGTTGCGTGTTGCACACAGTAGTGATAAATCCCTGTCTGCTTTTAAAAACTGATTATGCCTTGACAAAAGTAACCCTTCACCTAAAGAGTTCAGAGCTGTACAGACAAAAACATATACAATTGTAGAAAAGAACGGTTTATAAACATTACATACTCTACCAAGCTTCTTCCAAGAACTTTTTAGCTACTCATTGAAGAAATGTTACTATTAGGTTTCTATATGCTACTACCATATAGAGTTTGTCCTCTCAATTTTAATAGGGACAGTCAGCCCCAAACATTTATTCAAACTTGTAGAGCTAGAGTAAATATTAACAGTTCATGACTTGGCCACTGGGGTGAAACCCAGAGCCCTTTTTTATTTATTTTTTATGTATTTTATATTTCGGGAGAATGCAGCAACAGGAGCACTGAACACTCCATAGTTAAAAGGAAGATCTGACATTCCAAGGTACAAAACCAAGAAATGGATAGCAAGTTGATTTTAAATTTGGAGAATAATGTGTTAAATATGAATTACAATATCATAATAAAGTTGCATTTTCTGTACAGCTCTGGTCCTTCCATGAAAAAATATTACACAATTTATCTAACGCAAGCCCAGCACCAAGTGTGTAAGAATTAGGCATTTCTTCTTTATCCTGCCATTTTAAATAATTATTGGCTCAACATGTCCTAGCAGCTCTGATTTCTCACTTCTAGGATGTACCAATTACTATTTTTTTTTTATTTTGTACTAGTATTTGAAATTTCAATGTGCTACTCAAGGCCAAGCCTTTTTCTTTTGATAAATTAAGTTAGTTTGGAAAATGGTTTTAATTGTAGACTGTTGGTGGCCACTGTGATGATTCCTTGCAGATAAAGTTTGTTTCTGGTACTTCTATTCAGCATTGCCAATTTATGTTAGTATGCAAAACAGAACATTGCACAGTACATACATATACATAGCGCCATTTTTAGAAAGGTGGTATAGACTGTACAACAATGTTAACCTCACGTATTTATAAGAATTATGGAAGTACCTTGTAAGTGTGGCTTTTTAAAATTCTATATCTGATTCACAGCTCTGGCTCTACACATACCGCAGCAAACTTGTCTGCCTTTACGTCACAATAATATACGCTGGATAAAGAAGAAAGAAATCTAACGTTGGAGAAATAAAAACCCCCCACCAACAAATGCAATGATGACAGATTTCTTTTTAAAGGAGCTATTTATGTGAAAAAAAAATAGAACAACTAAAAAAGCAAGAAATGTTTTGTGACCAAGTATTAAAAATGTTGAACTGGTTGTAATTTTAGCAACATAAGCAGGGAGATTCAAAAGAGTGTCATTAGGACACATAAGAGAAGTGTCTCAGGGTTACAGTAATAGTGTGCTTATTTGCATCAAATTCATGTGCAAGGCTGCATAGTAGGGATGCACTGATACCGATAATTTTTTTCCGGTACTTGCCAATACCATTTACCGAGTAACGGAAGTCCCATTTAGGAAGCCAGGTGACGTGTAATGACTCGCCACCTGGCTTCCCGATTAGCCAGGAAGCGTGTAAAAAGACTCGCCATCCGGCTTCCTGATTATCCGGGAAGCTGGCCAATCAGGAAGCCGGCTTCCCGATTGGTCGGGAAGCTGGCCAATCTGGAAGCCGGGCACCACGCAATGACGCAGCGCCCGACTTCCTGATACAGGAAGTACTCGTGCTAGGCATCGGAGCATTTGGGCGAGTATGAGTACTCGCCCAAATACTCGGTATCGGGACCGATATCGATACTAGTATCGGTATCAGTGCATCCCTACTGCATAGCATTAATGACCTTGGAGCAAACCTATGAAACTGGTGCTGGCTTGCAAGACAAACTTTAGGACACATATATACAGACTGATAAAGTACATAGATGTGTTGCATCTTTGTCCAAAGTGGTGCATATGTGTATGAGACAGATGTCAGTTGGATCCTCCGTTTCAAGGAATGCCGCACCTGAGATATGTCTGCGGCAGACACATACAATATGAACGTGCAACAGACTAGTTAAACCAAAAAAGTACTTGGCCTTACTTTTCCTCTTACTGAACTGTCAGTGTTTATTTAGTGAATAAGTTGCAAGCACAGCACCAGAATGAAATATGATGCAAAGAAGAACTACTTGAATTTGGCGCAGAAGTCTGAAAAATGGCATGCTTTAGAATATAATCGCAGACACTTCTTGGGCTATATTAACAACAGAATTCTGGCATAAACATGATATTGAATTTCCCTGATTGTAAAGCATAATTCTAACAAACTAACACATTTTAAGGGTACATTCTCAGCAGGCATGTCATTCTTATATCTTAGGCAGTATCTCTACCTTTTATCTTAGTCATGGCAATGTGCAAGCACAATTTCCAAGAGAAGCAACCCTAGCTGTTCCACCACCACGTCTGCATTAACCATTTAAGAAGACAGTCTGATGTAAGGGGAAAAAAAAAAGCTGGCTGCAAAGCATGCACATGTCTGATTAGTGATGGACACATCTGAAACCCTACATCCTCCGTGACATCATTGAAGGCAAAGCAGAATGAGCAGTAATATGCAGATGCTGACAGCCAACAACAGGCAGGAAAGACTATTGATTGGCATAAGTCCAATAGCATAGATAACAGGTTAATGATCAGGATAGGTATAAACATACTTCACATGCATAATTCAGGGCATGAGCAGTATGACAGTCCTTTTGATTAGGCAAAGGCTGAATGCCTCCAAATTGAGTTGTGTAAGCTGCAAGTCCGAATTCAGTAAAACTTTGCTTTATTGGCAAAGAAGTTTACAACTACATTAAGGGCCGGTTCACACCACAAAGTCCGTGTTCCAATGTGTTCGGCCTCTGCTTTAGGCGCAGGAGGGGGCGTGGTGGTGCATTGAAGTCAATGGCACTGCAGCCGTGGCCCCCCACCCGCAGTGCGATTGCCCACACCCAGAACGCAGGCACTAGTGTGCCTGCATTCCGGTGCAGTGCAATCTGCAAAAGTAGTGCTTGCAGTATTTTTAGCAGATCGCACTGGACCGAAATGTACATTAGTGCCTGCTTTCCGGGGGATCGCACTGTGGGCGGGGGGCGTGACTGCGTGCCATTGACTTCAATGCACCGCCACGCTCCCTGCCGCCACTGAACACAGGGAGCCAGCCGGCTTGCGTTCCAGAGGCCGGAATGCAGACTTTGTAGTGTGAACTGGCCTCTAATGGCATTAGGATAAAAAAATGTGAACTCTTTCAATCAATCAACAAACCCCTACAGATATATGCTTTACAAGTTAATTTTCTGTGATAATGCTTAAAAAAAAAAAAAAAACTGGGGGACTATGGGAAATTGACTTTGGGCAGGCGAGATTTTTCTTCATTTGCTATTGGAATATATTGTGGTTACTAAAAATTTCAAAAACTTAAATTACTGCCTCATAGGTAGTAAGAGCGATATATTCCAATGCATACACTATATAGTGGATATGCATGCTGGCTAAAAAGGACGCTCGTTTCAGGGTGTGATCATCCATTGCCATAAAATTGTCATGTTACTAACATGCATAAAAAACAAAATAAAAAATAGTATTACCTCAAAAGATATAAAACATGCATAATGAAAATGGCCGTACCCACATTAAGTTACATTTAAAATATCTTAAAAATGTGCTGTGATCTGTTTTCAACATCATATAAAAGCTCCTTAAAAAAAGGCAAAAAAACAACAACACAAACATTACATTTTGAAATAAAGCTAAATTTGAGTTGGAGTTTGTGTCATGTTGTTGCTGCAAATAATGACAGCATGGAACACACCTCTATAGTGTATTCAGATTTAGTCAAACCACAATCGGATTTGGGCATAATACTACACTATTTATTAGTCTAATATTATTCTTAATATGCATGGGTAAAACTTACATTTTTACAAATGTGCGGACCTCACAGTGCACTTCTTGAAGGAAAGAATTAAACATTTTTTTGCAGTTACAGATCATCTTAAGTGCACATAAAAAAAAGTAGATAACAGCTAAATAGTTCAGCTTTTTGATGCTGGTCATACATGGGATTTTTTGTCATGCTACCAACCTCTTAATCTTTTCATATATCTATTCATATAAAACAACCAGATGGTTTGATGCAACACATACAATAAATCCATACAGTAATCTGAGCACGTTCAATGTCAGAATGTAGTGGAAAAGTAAACAAAAGTTCAAAGTGATGGTGTCATAACTGATCGACGGCACCGTATACCACAAAATTGGCTGGAAAGTAAAACGTTTTGGCAACCTAGCTTTCTGCTTTCACCTTTAATTCAGTCTGTCAAAATCAGGTGAAAGTGATTGATCTGCTAATGAGAAGTCAATGATAATAGATCGATTCAATTAGAATATTATTTTTTTATTGTATATGCATTAGACTGGCCACAGGTGGGAAGATCTGAAGATAACTACAGGCGAAGATGCATCCGTTTGTCTAGAGTTCAAAATACATGTGACAATCTGACTACAACCTCTTTTAGACTTACCAAAACTATTTAACAGAAGGACCTACTTAGGCTATTCATTCAATTTGTATCCAATCAGGTAGCCCTTGTACTACTACATATTTGATAGATCTAAAAGAGAATGCACAGTCAGAATGTAACATGTGTGGTGCGCTTATTTCATGCCTGCTGATTCTTTACATGGCTTAAGAGATATTTAAATTTAACTACATATGGATGTCTGTGAAGGTTCTCATTTCTCCAGGTCATGGTACATCTGTAAAAAAAATAAGTCAAGGCAACTGAACTTGCTGTATTTTTCTTGAAGACGTTTCACTAGTCATCCAACCAGCTTCCTCAATTCAGAATGACATGTACAAAAATTATCTGGGAATAAATATGGTGAATGTCCCTCCAATCCACAAAACCTGTTAGTCACAACCAGGTGTTGAATGCATTTGCATAATTGTAGTCTAGGAGGTGTTATTAACCTGCCCAGAGAGAGGTGGCAGAACTTCCCCGACCTGTTAAACCCTACTCTACTAAAATTGATTCAGTAGGGAAACCTAAGTAAAAAAAGAGGCAAAAATAACACAGACTCCAGTAGGAATACAATTACAGTCAGATAACATTTCAGAAAAGCTGCAAAGAAATAAAAATAAATCTATAATAGAATTGTTGATTAGGCCAGTGAAAACAAGCTCATTCAGCAGTGCCACACCAAATGGAAATCTAAATGAAAAAATATTATATCCTACTTGCAATCACCAATTATATACAGTGCTCTTTTTAGATGATAAAGGATGTTATCTTCAGAACCCAAATCATTAAGAAAGAAGACACAAGTTAACATTTCACCATCATAATACACACAAAAAAAACAAAACAGTTTTGATCATATAAACAAATACTGAGAACCTAATGGAATGCTTGGGTATCCATGCCTCTTTGTATAAAAAAAAGTATTTCGTTGCTTTATACCCGAAGTTAGTCCAGGAACAGTTGTACTGTATATGCAAGCAAATATCAACCATTTAAAGCTGAAGTTTAGTTAATTGTTTATGGAATGCAGCCTCAGTGACATAAATTACCATTGGTAAAGTGTGTCTCATGTCCTGGTGGCTGCTGCTTATTGTAGAAATTCTCCCACGAGTTCAGCTGGATACCCTCTATAGTGCTTATCTTCTGGTGCTATGCGGGTTAACAGCAGCCGCTACCAGTGTGAAAAAATCTTCAAAAGTAGTGCCTGCCATTTCCTCCTCTCTCTCTGTAGAGAGTATCTAGTGGCACTTGCGGCAGGGTTTCTACAATAAGCAGCAGCCACCAGGATGAAAGTTTCAACCTCCAGCACATAAATCCTCCATTTTGATAGGCCTAAGGTTGCTAGACCCAAATATGCGTGAAAAACACATTAAAATGCTTGTGTTGTGCATTTTTTAGGCGCTCTAATGGGAGTCTATGGGGCCAAAAAGAAGAAATTCTGCCAGAATAAAAGCTACCTAGCTGTAGGCTGCTCAATGTAAAGATACATGTGGAGAGTGGTGGACAGCTGCAGCTCTTGTCAACCTGCTAAGTGGTTGCAGCTGTCGGGAATCACCTGCGATTCCTGCTGCATGAATCTGCAACCGTGTGAATAATGTCCCTGGGGTTGCAGCTGCAGCCAGGTTCTTGCAATAACTACTAAAAGTTGAATACATACAGGTCTGTCCTTGAATGGTTAAGCTAAACCTGTACTTTGCTTTGCCCTTGCAGCAACAGTCTGTATGGGCAAAGTCTACTTTAAGGCCCCACGCATATGATATTGCACTGCGGCAACAAAACATTTTACTGTGTATTGCAATGTGCTTCATTTTGAATGGACCCCAAACACAGGAAAAATTGTTCCTGCTCTTTTTTTTTATTTTATTACGGCAGCATGCATTGTTGGGCACTGGGGTGTACTGTAGCACAGTTGTGTATGCCTGTGTATGTGTGTTGGGATGCCTTTCAAAATGAAGGACAATGCACATGTACAACATGTTTTATTGTGCTGCAGTAAAACAAGCAGTACTGTGGTGTGAATTGGCCCTAAGAAAATTCACTCGTTAGACAATGCAAGTAAATGCAATAAAACCAATGCAACAATGACATCGACATGACAAGGAATGTAGAGTAGGATCTCTACTAATGACAAGATGCAGGTAAAAGGAACATAAAAATATTCTTACCCTCTTTTTTGCTTTTGGCTGCAAAATTTGCAAAGCAAGTAGATGCAACCGGCCATACATGCAACTACTGCAATAATTATGCCTTAAGAGAATCCAAAATTACAAAAAAGTTACATTTTAAATTGCAGGAACATGTAAATTATATCAGTCAGAAGAAAAATAGGCTTTTTGTCTTACCAGTAGAATCCTTTTCTTGGATTACATTACAGGACAGGATGAACTATTCTGAAACCTTGGGTTATACTGCTACCATAATGAGATTTGAAACTGGCAAGCAAAGATGTAAGGTCAGCTCAGTAGAACCCAAATACAGTACAAACAGCAAAAAGTTAGGCCCTTCCATGTGCACCTTGCTGTAAAGCTGGTAACAAATTGAGGAGTGCGTTTGCCATTTGTTTTGCTTGACTGATTTGGTGCAGTGATGAATGGGGGGGTCTCAGCTGCCTTGTGATGTGCGGGATCCCTTGTGCGTTCCTGTGCCTTTAAGGGAGGTTGGGCTTCCTCATGACAAACCTGCACCCAATTTGATCTTTTGTCATATGTGCTCCAAGATGGAGACTCCCATAGTTTAGAGTTAGGACCGCACTATTTAGATTATTTTTTCATGCTGGCTGGTGAGTGTGCTGGGAAACTTTTTGCTGTTTGTACTGTATTAGGCTCTTTCATGTGCACCTTGCTGTAAAGCTGGTAACAAATTGATATTTATAGGTAAGAGACGCTGGACAGCTGCCATTGGAGAGAAGCTGTAGCAGCAATGTAAACAGAGTTTTGACTAAAGAAAAAAAAGTTTGAAGGAAAAAAGGGGAAAAAAAAGGGTGTTGGCAAGACTTTCACATAGCAGAGCTGAGGACATCCATCCTCCTGGGACACTAGTGAAAAATTGAGTACTGCTGGTAGTCAGAGGGGGTTATCCTGGACTGGCCTACAGTTTGCTAGTGTCCAATCATCATGTAGGTGGCAATAAAACCCCAAAAGGTTAAAACTTCCTGTGTCCCTGCATGGATAAGAAAACAACCTCATCTTATTATAAAGTGTGGTGCTACTATACTGCACCCTGTATGATAGCTCTTTTAAAAACAGTATGCCCTGTATAATGCAAGTACATGGTCTGGGTGGATGTGCATAAAAAAAAAAAAAGTGTCACTACTACTAAGAGTCACTACTAATCTGACCACTTCATTTTTATGCATTAGTTCAAAATCCTGCCAGCTGTTAAAACCAAAACTGTACCTTCTTCATGTGATTCAGTTCAGTTTTAGTCATTAAGCTATCACATTGAGCCTGGCTACTGATGCTGCACACAAAGACATGACCAGCGTTTTTGAGCTGTAAAGACCAGCGCTGTATTTAGCAGTGCAAGACACGAAGACCTTGAGAATTTAAATTTTCCTCTGGCTGTCAGTGCTTCACCTGCCTACTACCTATCCAACGGTCAGTTTCCCCTCACCTGTATAGGACAACAGAGTGGGGGGAAACAGAAAGGACACCCATAAAAGAGGACAGGAAAAACACTCAAACTAATGATAAATAAGATGTAGCCTCCAAGAGCTTTGTCTGTGATTGAGCAATTGAACTTTTGTTTTATAGAGCATGCGCAAGTATACCTCTGGCGATCTAAGGACCCGTAAATGTGAATGCATCTAATGCAGTCCATTAGACAGAAGGACGCTGAGTGACATGCCACAGCTGGAGAGGAGAGGGATAGAGGTGAGCGGTCACTGCCACAGAGCAAAATGAGCACTTAACCCTTGCATTGCAGAGGCAGGCCCACTGCGAAGGTCAATTTTTAAAAGGTAATTATGAATTCCAACAGATTCCTCTATCCGTGCAAAAAACAGTGTTGATGGACGAATCTCCTGCTGAAGCTACTGTATTTTGACAGTGATGGACATGCTGCTGTCAGAATATTGGAACAGTGAGAGCATCTGATTGGCTGCAGTTGCTGTTTGCCTGGGAGCTTTCCACCCAGCTTCTTCAATTTCCTGATCAAAGGATGTTGGGCAAGACACTGCCGATAGGACAAGCCACTGAGAGGATTTTGGCCAATTCATCAAGAACTGGCCTAAATTGATCCAGTGCATTGCCAGCATTAGTCAGTTTAATGCTTACTAACAGTTTGTTGAATACAATCTTCCTATGACCAGGTCACTGTTCAGTGGAAGAATATGAAGGAGCAGAAATAGCACATATTTCTCAACATCAGGTGAGCTATTGAGCTATGCATTGGTACTGAAGAACATGTAGTAATCTTTACCGTTTTCTGTTCGGCAATGGCCAGCCTACTCTGGCTTGTAACCTAGAGACAGAAATCGATGTGTGCTCATATCCATCAGGCAGATCCGGTTATGATCCTCACATCTATGGTCAGTTGTAGACACTGATAAACCTTTTCAGCTAACAGTTTTAGGTGGAAATAATTATAAGCCATTTTGGGAAATATGACCAATTTACGATCTGCAACAGACTAGACATGCTCCCCTCTTAAGTCCATAGGAAAAAAACAACAGCATACGTGTTTAGGTGTTAGGGGAAAAAATGCAAGTCTATAGAACTGTCTGGTTAAAGAAAAAAAAAAAAAAAGTGGGCATCTGTACCATGTCTGCACAATGACCACCCTCCTAGGGTTTGCTTATGAGCCCATTTACCCTAGACAGCAGACCTTCTATTAACATGGGGCATATTTTGAATAAGTTACATACCATGCATCTGCATCAGAACAGAAATGTCAGAATTTGTTTTGAGCATGATCATGTAGAAATACAGTATGTAAAAAGTAAATGCAGCACTTACCTATTATTGCCCCAACACCAAGGGGTGATGGTTCATGTTTCCCTAAATAAAACAGAATATACAACACTGTAAATATGAGTGCTTTGAATTCGACTTTATCGCAATTTAAAGTAGCTAATGACTAAATGTATCCATGGGTAAAACTACTACAAGGAAGCATGGGGACATTTTGATCCAGGGAAAGCACCCAACACTGGTCATTAAAGGGTTAAAGCGGTTAGAGGTCACTGACACGTAAATATCCAGATCAACTCTGGCAGATAAAGTTTCTGCCAGTTAATGTGACCTAGGAGGCTGTATCATATGAGCTTGTGTCGATGGTATCAGTCTAACACCAGGTTGACATGCCTCCGAGATCATTCAGAAGCATCACTTAGAATTTATTTACAGGTACATATGACCTCCAGTTGACCTTCTTCTGACCTGCATTTCACCTGCTTCAAACAGGTTTTCCATTCCCATAGACTTATACAGGAATGTAAAACCCATCTGACATAAACAAAAGCCTGCAGGCATAGGCCCTAACTCAATCACAATGACTGCACACAGACAAAAAATACTGAACAGATGGAAGAGGTTCATTGGTTCCAGAATATTAGTTAAGACTGAAGCCGTCATCAAAAGCGTTGTCTAACAACTAGGAATGTGCATCTGTGCACTCTCCAAGCTGTCAAATAAGCAATGTATTAACATTTCCTTTGCATGGGAACCCATGGATGGGAGTGAATCTAAAGGCGGCAGGCATCTGTTGGGTAAGAACAACTGTACAATTTTGAATGATATTCAAATTTTTAAAGTAATAGTACTTTAAAAAAAAATCTGATTCTTCAAATGCATTTTTAATCCTTACAGGTTAGTAAAAAAAAAAAGGTCCCCACTGGCCTCTAATATTACAATTTACAGGGTACATGAATACATGACATTTAAGCTGCCCATACACCTATAGATTTTCTGCAGATGCAAAAAGTGCAACAGATTTCTCCATCTACGCTAAACTGTGTGGATGGAGGAATCTCCCACTGGGCCAAGCATCCGTATCTTGCTAGTCGGCCCTGCTGGCTGTCAAAACACCTGAACAATGCCGGCATCCAATCAGATTGTTCAGGTATTATGACAGCCAGCGGGGCCAACTAGCAAGATACTGAAGCTTGGCCCAGTGGTAGATTTCTCCATCCACACAGTTTAGTGTAGATGGAGGAATCTGTTCCACTTTTTGCATCTGACCATAGAAAATCTGCAGATAATCTATAGGTGTATTGGCAGCTTTAGATGTACAGGAATTGTTAGGAAGAACTCTACCCAAATATGACTTATACAAATTACCATAACAAGGTCTGATTGAGGCAGATTAACTAAAAGAGCCGAGAATCTTTATTTCATCTGCACACGATTGGATAATCAAAGTGAAATTTTCCCTTTTTTGGAGTAAAGCAGAAATGTGCTTTTGACATGACTGGATTAGTGAAGTATATCAACTCTTTTTGTGTGAAGATTTTAAACTCCTTTAGTAAATGAGCCTTATTGTGGACTCCATTGCTGGTTATAAGTGTTTGTGTCTGAGGCCAAGGCCTCTTTCTAAACTTCACTGATGGCAAATCTGGCACATGTCATTGAGGAGTGGCTGTTGGTGCCTCCAACAAAAGTTGACAGTGGAGGAGGTGGGATTAAACCGAGCTAGAAAGTGCTTTCTGAACCATAAGAATGATTAGTGCAGAACAACTCTGCCATGCTGCCTCAAGAACCCAGCTCTTGCAGCATTATTATATTTAAAATAACTTTGTTGCGGATTTGTCTACCGCTTTAGAGATCTGCTGTTCATTTTTGAATTGTTGCCAATCCCATTTCTTTTTTTGACAGCTTCTGCTGTAACTCAATGATGAAAGTTTTCCTTTAAATTAGGAGGCGCACCGAAATGAAAATGTCAAAACCATGAAAAGACATGTCAGGCCGAAACCAACATTTTTAATTTTTTTATAAACAAATTTCATTTATATTTTATTTATTCATTTTAATTAAAATATATATATTTTTTTACATTACTTTTAGGGGCTTTGGGGATATATAGGGGGTCTAACAGACCCCTGATATTTCCCTTTTAAAATAGAAAAAGAGTCCTCAATCTCTTTTTCAGCAGCCCCTGTTCTAAATGAACAGGAATCCTCTATACTGTGTGTGCCTGTTCATTTATAACTTGGACATAGTAGGTTTACTATATCCACAATCACGAATGAACAGGAGGTGATGTAGATCACTTCCCACTCATTCATAATTGAGGACACAGTCAACATACTCTGTCCTCATTTACAAACACTCAGCAATCACTGATCACTGAGTGCAGGGGTGTGGACATTTTTGAAAAAACTACTTGTCCAAGGGCTAAAGCGGGGGCCAAATCTACTTGTCCATCATAACAATCTACTTGTCCCGATACAAAAAAAAATAGTTTTAATTAAAACTAGGGATGCACAAATACCTCTTTTTGGGTGTAGAGTACGAGTACTGATATTTTGCTTTCGGTACTCACTGAGTATCGGTGCTTCCGTTTGCATGGAGCAGGCTTCCCGGGCAATCAGGAAGCCGGGCAGTGGGTAATGAGATGTTACCCGGCTTCCTGACTGCCAGGGAAGTAGACTCCATGTTGTTTGGCCGGCTTGATTGTGAATGGCTTGGAAGCCGGTTTCCCGGCCAATCAGCATCGAGCCAGCTTCCTGGCCAATCAGCAAACCCAGCGGCAAGTAATGACCTGATTGGCCAGGAAGCCGGCTCGATGCTGATTGGCTGGCACCATGTTCCCCTACGGCCCTGCCAGTCAGAGGAAATCTTCCTCTGACCAGAAGTTCCGGTATTGGAGAAGATATCGAGCATTTGGGCGAGTACAAGTACTTGCCCAAATACTCTGTATCTGTGCATCCCTAATCAAAACTGTATTGGTCTGTGCTAAATAGCGCTTCCCATTGGTCAGCGTGGTCCCCAGACCATGCTGACCAATGAGTGCTTGCAATTTGCGAGCGACATTCAAAATGCATAGGGCAAGACTGCGATGCACAGTACGGGGTAAGGACAGTACACCTGTACCGGCGGAGGGTAAGGACTGTTTGCCGAAAGGTAAGTATAGCCGGGGGGTGGGGGGTTTTGGGAGAGACGGGGGCCAGATTTGATCGGGTAAATCCATTTTCCCATATTACCTGGGAAAGTGAACTTGCCCTTTAATACACATTGTGCGTGTGAGAGTGTTCTGCTGCCTCGCTACCACAACATGGCACAGTGAAATGGTGGCAGCACTCAACGCACACACACAATGTCCTATGCGTGCGTTTATTTGCATGCAGATGGCGGGGGCATCGGGGTTGGTTTTCATTTTTTTATTTTATTTTTTACATTGTCACTTTTTTTTTAGTATAATTAATTATTTTTTACTTTTTTATAACTTTTTTTAAATTTTTTTTACCCCCACCTAATTTTATTCCTATCACATGGGGATTTAAAATCCTCTAAGTGATAGTTTGGAGGTGAGAGGTTCTCTTTATGGAACCTGCCCTCCAACACAGAACTGATGTTCTGTGTAGTCCCTGACAGCTGAGACAGGTGGCGCTGTGATCACAGCGCCACGGTCTCAGTGATAACACAGAGCAGACGAAAAACGGACGTTTTTCGTCTGCTCTGCGGGCTCTATGGTGAGCTCATGTTCCGTGGTCTCGGGTCCACCTGAGGAGCGGGGGATCCCGAAAACCACGGGGGGCGGTGTGGACAGAATCGCTTCTCGTTTAATTCAAGTGATCTGATAAATGATCAGATCACTTGAAAACGAGCGGCGGCTCCACACTTAGCTCTGCTTGTTAGCGGGGCTAAGTGTACAAAAAAAACTACTCGCCCGGCGCCCGAAACTGCATGTCCCGGGCGTCAGGCGATAGGAATTCCACACCCCTGGAGTGTATGTACCCGCTCTCTTTCCTGACACGCTGTCACAGGAGGCTGGGCAGGGCGGTACGGGAGAGCTTAGCCTCCTGTGACATCAATGACAGCGGTCTCCGCCCACACCGCCACTCTCCATCCTGGATTGGCTGTCACAGGAGGCTGGGCGGTCTCCACCCATACTGCCACTCTCCTGATCTGTGACAGGAGGCTGAGCGGTGCGGGAAGGAGAGACGCCGGCTGCTCACAGCACTCTCCTCCCACAGCACTCGGCCTCCCATGACAGTTTCTCTGTGTCCCAGCGGGGAGGAGAGAAATCACGGATGTACCGCTATATCGGCCAAAACAATTGCACTTTCGGCATTTGATATGTTTAAGCGGCCGATATACCAGCGCATCCCTACTTTAACCTCTTGCCGTCCGCCCGTAGTAGAAAAACGGACGGACGGCACTGCTGCACTGGCGGGTTGCTGTCGCCAGACGGCATTTTTTTCTGCTTGCGCGCGCCCCCTAGCGGGCACGCACGGGCAGACACTTTTGGAGCCAAATTGGCATAATGCCTTTCTTAAATGTGTTACATGTTTCTCATTCACATAGCACAACTTATATTTCTTTAAATTGCTGCTTGCACAATACATGCTCTATTCTGAAAGTTGTTCTCTGTACTGAGCTTTGTTCTAGAATGCAAGGGGGGCTGAGCAGGTTACGGCTAACGCAATTAACCCTTCAGCTGCCTGTGTGCTGTGCTGGACTTTTGGTGTGTCCCTGCACTTTAATCTATTTTTTGGTGTGTATGTCACAGGTTGGGAGCTTTGTTAGATTAGGGACCACACGGTACAGAACGGCCTTGACAGGCCAGTGTGGCTTTCACATAGATTTGCTGAAAGTTTATGCGACCAACACCTCTGTTTTTAATGCATAGAATTTAGATTTATATGATGCCAACGTTGTCCACAGGAAATCTTCCAATTGGGACACTAGTTCGGCTGACCCTGCAGACAACCAAGGGCTCCTCTCCCTTTGGAGGAATTTCCTACAACTTCCTGTTGCGGCTATTAGCCAGAAGTTCTCCCTGGATGGCAAAAAAAATGTAAAATGCTGGCGGGTTATAACCCTCTTTTACTCAAAGAATTAAAAAAAAAAAAAAGTTTTAGCTTGAGTTCTGCTATAAATTGTCCTGAAATACAGCCGTATATAATACTAGAAGTATTGCTAGGATTTCAAAAGACCAAACGGCATATTTACAAAGAAGTGAATGCGGCAATTATCAAACAGTTACTGCAGATGAATGAGTTTTAATATACAGAGATTCACCACCAATGAATGTTTGGCAAATTTCACATTCAGCGCTTTGTAAATATGCTATAAGGGGAAACAATGAGTGCTCTTTCAAGTGGAAAGATGTGACGCAATGCACTGCAGCAAATGTAGGCATGACCACAGTGCTGTGGTAACATGGTTAAACAGAATAAATGGGTCTTAAAGAGAAAACCGCAATGCTAAGTATATAAAAAGATTACTTATGTCAAAAGACCAAAATAAACCGAATACATAGAAACACACAAAGGGGGTCATTTATAAAAGTTTTTATTAAGTCTGCAGTACACCATGATGGCACTAACCCCCATAGCTGGTACTGACAAGTATACAAATTCCTATACTCTTGGAAAACACGGCAGGCACCAGACCAATGAGATCACAGCAAGCAGAAACGAGGTCTAATGACTCCATGAAGTGATTACCACCCCTTTACTGGTTGATGTAAACATAAAACCAGACAAAATGTCTTTCTTTCAAACAATTCTCCATCTAGTAAGAGATTTTGCAGAAATATTACCTAGCAGATCAGATTCATGGAATTTCCCCTTAGTTTAGTGAACGAGTTGAAGCTCTGCTGACTTCCATTCTCCAATTATGTGAAAGCAAAAAATCCCGTTTAAATATTTCTTGCATGTGACGGTATTCTTCGTAAAGGCAATTTTCACAAAATTCACTAAGCTAAGGAAAATGATCTTGCAGAGTGTACAGCCTATTTGCATTTAAAACAATTACTGTTAATGCAAGCAAGGTAAGATATTTGGGTTGATGTATTACAGTTATGGCTTTACCTGTGCAGGCAATCACCCCACTCCACTTTCCATCTGCTTGACATTCTCTATATTCCCGAGTTGTGCTCCTCTCATATCTGAAGTGTGACAACATACAGAATGTAAAAAATTATATGCGGCTTTTTGTACAAAAAAAAAAAAGCATGCAAGTTGCATCTTCTATTTTATACATCTCCAATGTGACGTGTAATCTATAGAAATAAGATTTTGGTACCGTATATACTCGAGTATAAGCCGACCCGAATATAGGCCGAGGTAGCTAATTTTACCACAAAAAACTGGGAGAAAATATTGACTCGAGTATAAGCAGAGGGTGGGAAATGAGGCAGCTACTGGTAAATGTACATTACCGTAAAATCTTTCTTGGAAATGTATTTACGCAAAATCTTTTTCTTGGACAGGAATTCTAAAACAGTCTTGTTATATTGCCACCTACAGCAGGTTTAGACACTGGCAAACTGAAAAAACTGTTGAAGGCAAGCCCCCATGTAACCTTGCTTTTACTGTCATGCATCAGTTTGGTGAGCAAGCCATACATAAAAGGAAATAAATACAGAGGGGTGGGACCTGTCTCCTTCAAAAGATCACATGTACAAAAATCATATTTTCTTTATCATCCATTAAGCAACATAGGAATTGTGAAAAAGTCTGGACATCCAAAAGTACTTCAATGGAAAGATGGGCAACAGACACCAACAGACCCAAGATAGAACCAGGAGTCATCTGCAACAACCAGAACAACTAATGCCCATATCTGAACTGGAAGAGGTGAAGTCCCCTATAGGACAGGGGAAAGACCAACAACCCAGGGAACATCACAGAGGACGCATGCTATATCCCACAGGGAGTGTCTGCAGCAGGGATGCATTGTGAGCTGTTGGTTGACAATCCAAGGGAACACTAAGCCCTCCAGCAATGGTTTCTTCCTGCCTGCAGGAGTTAAAACCACACTCAAGTGCGCAAATCTTTGTCCCCAGAACAGAGACCAAAGGATGGAGAGACCCAGAAGGCAAAAGCGGTATCTCTAAAAGGAAGGTGTGGTTGAAAGTAACATCATCAGTGTTGTCCAGCATAGGGACCAGGTATCTCATACCATCACAGGGAGAATTCTCAAGCGTCCCTGTAGGTGAAGGTCTTACACCGCCAAAAAGTATTACCGCCAACACAGGATGGAGGGCCAAACCAGTTACCTTAAACTGGGATCTAGGGAGAAAATTCAACCATCTTTGAAATCCCCCAAAGCAAATATACCATTGCCCCCTCCAGTGCAATCTATGTTAAAACGGATCACTGGAGCATCCACATTAGACTACCTATTAGTGAATCCCTTTTCTACCACATTCTCTGATGTTGCCTAGAACACTTCAGGGTGTTTCTAGGATGAATAGAGGAAGGTATCAAACAGCAGGTCTAGCAGAAAAGTATTTAAAGGGATAGCAGCTCTAAAGACTCATCCTACAAATACTGGGCTATACGCACTGCTTCAATAGGTTTGAACCAACTCCTTTTATATCCAAGTCAACAGCAAGAGACTGATGTTACCCCCCAAAAAAAGGTATCTCCCTACTAGTGGGTTTCTGAATCAGACATGACAACAGGGGCTGCAGAGCTGGTCACAGAAAGGTCAGACTCTGCTGGGGATGATGCCGGAATATGCTTAGAACCCTTACAGGCAGAATGATCCAGTAGCTGGACACAAATGGCTAGGAAGTCCCTGGATGCAGAAGTAATTCTGGACATAGAGGAGGCCTTGGCACCGCCTAGGCAGAGCTGAAATTTACGCCACAGATGAAGACCCTAAAATGATAGGGGTCCTGGTTCCAGATTATAAGTGTCAGTTCCATTTGGGTATGCAAGATAAATGCCACCAGAGCCATTACGGGATTATGGGCTGAGGTCACCCCATAGTAGCAGGACTGTCTTCTGTGTGTCTTTGAATGGGCATGTTGTGCCTAATAGTAGTGAGAAACTAAATTAAATGAATGTGAGAAAAGTCAATTTTCACACATTGATTGGCTGCCACAGAGTCCAGACCTTAACCCTATTGAGAATCTTTGAGCTGTGCCGGTGAAGACTTTAGGCAGTGGTCCGACTCTCCAATCATGACTAAAAGCTTGGTGAAAAATTAATGCAACTCTGGATGGAAATAAATGATGTGACATCGCATAATCTTATCTAAAATGATGCCACAGCTAATCCGTGCTGTAATCAAAACTGAAGGTGGTCCAATGAAATATTAGAGTAAGTGACTTTTTGGACAGGCAGTGTATATTTGAATGTATCTTTGTGTTATCTTGCAGAATAATATTTACGTTTTTTTAAATTTTATATTAAAAAATATTCACAATTTAGGCTTATATTTATTAAAAATAGAAATAATACCCTTCTTCACAGGTGTATGTTGCCCTGGAGCCAAATAGGTAGTCTGTAACCAACACATGTCCATTCTGTATTTTCCCTGGATCCCCACAAGATATACCTGCAAGCAAGAAAATGCCATGTTTCCATTCCAACCAATTACACATGTTTATTAGGCAACATAAATTCACTAAGATAGGAAAGGGAAAAAGAAAATAAACAAAACACTTACGTCTACAGAATTCATCAGGCACTGACCAGCTATGGCCTCTGCAGATTATTGTGCTTTCTTTATCAGTACTTTTAGTATACCCTCGTTTGCACTTAAAATGCACAACTGTACCATTAAAATTAATTTCAGACTTCGCAGAGGTTTCATCACGCAATGCAAAAGCAGGTGTGGTAGGGTTTTCTTCACATATTGCTATGGAAAAAAAGCAGAGATTTTAGAGAAATAACACTAACACAACCAACAATCATAATCATAATCATAAAAAAACAAAAACCTCCACAAAAAGGAACTGAACCACTCCAAGTTTCATCTTGTTGACATGTTCTAAGCTTCACCAATGGAATCAAGGCATACCTGAAATAAAACCACATATAAATCACATAAGAAGTAGCCTTTATAAAATATAAACAAACCAATTAGGAAAATCTTATATAAGCTTTAACATATGTGACAAACAGCCCGGTTTGGTCCGGTGCAGAGTCGTGGATGGGGTTTACCTGCCCCCTAGACTATTGCATTTTATCAGATAAGCTAGTGAAGGGTCTGTCTTGCAATATCATGGTGATTAAGCACTGGTCACACTCTTTCCACACCTGTACTTTAGAATTTAATTTTTTTCTGGGATGAGCAGTGTGCGTTAAACTGGCCATACACCTATAGATTATCTGCAGATTTGCTATGGTCAGATGGAAAAAGTGCAACAGATTCCTCCATCTACGCTGAACTGTGTGGATAGAAGAATCTCCCACTGGGCTAAGCTTCAGTATCTTACTAGTCAACCCCACTGAACAAGATACTGAAGCTTGTCCCAGTGGGAGATTTCTCTATCCACACAGTTTAGTGTAGATGGAGGAATCTGTTGCACTTTTTCCATCTGAAAATCTGCAGATAATCTATAGGTGTATGGCCAGCTTTAGAAAGGCTGCATGCCGACTGTGCTGGACCAGCCTGCAGGGCTAAGCAGACTCCAATTGCCTCACAGCTGGCCAGTAGGCTGAATATTTTGCTGCTTATCAGACTTTTTAATCTGCAGCTTTCATTAAAATAATACCTGGTCATCCTACCATAAGGTTCTTGTGCAGGTACTTACTGTTATAGGCCGACAATGTCACACATGTTACTAGACCTGTGTGCAGGGGACATGTGCCTCAGTGAGTCCACTAGCAGAGCATGACATTCTGACTGCCTGAATGACTAGCTGATACTCCTGCAGCACCAAGTGGAGGGAATATAAAGATAAATGCTGCTTGCAATGGCCGAATGTCCCTCAGCTGAGATCCGGGAGGTGGGAGGAAGTGGCATCATATCTGTGCAGCTTCTCTAAGGTAAGTAAACATTCAAGCTTCTATGGATTACCAATGAAAGGAGGACAATGACCATTGAACACCAAATGCAAGAGGGCACACACATACCCACACACCACAAGACTTAACATCTTGTACAGGTCAGTGTGTGGTGCACTTCAGGATCCTACTCTTGGCTTCCCATTGGCTGCAGACGCCTGCATTTGGGCCGTATGCCCAATATTCGGTCTCTCAGTGTCCTGGTTGCCAAGTAACATCCTCTGCTATTCCACCCTACAGCTCGGATTTGTCCTGGTCTTTCCCATTTAAACTTCACTGATCCTGTGCACAACACTTGCTATACGTTTTCACACATCGGACTAGCGGCCATTTGCCCATATGCGATATTCTGTGTATCCACCCTGTGCCTGTTATCTGACCATGCTTCTGCCTGATGCCTGGACCAACCCTTTGTCTGTATACCTACCACATCTCTGTCTGCTACTAGAACGGTCATTTTGCCTGTCTATACACCACATTTCTGCCTGCTGTTTGGACCATCCATTTTTTAGTTTGCTGACCACATGCCTGCTACCTGTATTGATCCTGCTGCTGATGTTTCTGCCGAGGCACCTGTTCAAGCTATTCTCTGCAGACATCTGTACTCCTGGTACCAAGTACTGGAAAGCCTGCTTGCATTAAGGGAATGGGGGTTGCAATAGGTGAAGCTACACTAAGTCAGCTATATTTCCTGACCACTCGTACAAAGGCAGATTACAAACACAAGCATTTGAGGTGGCAATCAACATTGACCACCATTACAAGGGGACACTCCTGGACCACTGTACACTGCAAGTTGTGCTGTGTAATATACAGTCCAAACTTTCTAAATTCAGATCACTGCACTGTATGCAATGTTGTACATTACATTGTCCTAACTGCTGCACTCTATACAGAACAAAATCCTGACCACTGCACTCTATACACAGTGGGAGGAGATTTGCTTACCGAAAAAGTGTAGGCTCATGGACACTTCAATGTAAAGCAGCATACCATGGAACAGGTTAGACCTGGAAGCTGGACCTGCGGAGTAGGAATAGTCCTGGAGCACACTCGAGGGGGGAGGTCCTGGAAACTGATCAGGGTCACCCAAAGATAGAATTTTGGCTGATCCACCAGGAAACAGACAACATTCAATCTGTTTATTGCCAGCTTTACATAATATTCACTGCTGCACTCTATATGCTACATAGTCCTAACTTCTGCACTCTACATGCTACTTTTAACATTTTACAGTAATACACACTATTGGTATTCCTACATAAATATTCTCTGGTAAACAGCAAGGCAAGCAAATTATACAGTTTATCAGTACTTGCAAGTAATTATTTGCTTCCAATAGCTAGCAAATTGCTGACAGTTCTAACACACATGCATACATCTGGCTCGTGACAAGACTCATCTGGAGAAACAACGGGTCTTAAATCTTTAGAACCAAGTGTATATTCTACACAGGAGCAAATTTGATCTTTTGCACTCCATTAACATATGGAATGATAACCCCTGGAGATACCAGCATACTCTATTTTGCCATGTATTATCCTCTATATGCTCAACATGAGGTTTTGCATGTTTTTAAGGATTAGACATTTTGGATTATTAGGCAATTAGATTGTAAGGAAGCTGGGGAGCTAAAGGATTTTGTAGTGCATTGGGCAATGTAGGCTTGGTGTGCAGAGCGTAATTAAAGATAGCAGAAGAAATAATAGTTAGGAAGGTAACATCTGTTTTTTTATGGTTGTATGAAGAGGTCTAGCTGCCTATGTATAATGTGTGACTAGACACTTACTACTTTGTTAAGCCATATCATGTGATCAGGGATACTTGGGCAGTTTATGGCTTTTCTACAAGGGAGTAAAAAGACATAACCATGCACATTATCGCAGGGGAGGGAAATGCTTTTCCCTGAGATCTCGTGAGATTACAGATGAGATTTCCCAGCAATGCTCTGCTGATGACAAGGCAATCCCAGTGTGCATTGCTTTGGCAAACTGAAGTCATTTTGCCCTTTCAAAGCAGGGAGTGAATGTCCTGCAAGTGTAAGTATTTCAGAATCACAGCATTTTACATACGACATGTCTATGCTATTTAGCAACCATCAGACATAGAGGGATGCATTGGTAGAATTTGATTTTTGAGTGTAATAAAGGTCCGCTTTAAGATGTAAAGTGGGTAAATGAGACAACCATTTTTCCAATATGTATTGGGGAATGTCATGATGTGTATAGGATTTTTGATAACGGATTCATTTTTTTAGAGGAGATATGCACCACCACACTCCAGGGGAGTTTATCCCAAGCATGTATTTTAGTCTTTTATATTTCATTAAAGGGACAACATTTAGTTAAATGAAGACCTTTGGATATAGGAATATGAATGCCCAAATGTCTAAGTGATAACATCCAACCAATGCTTTAGAAGTGAAAATTGTTCTCAAGCAAAGGTGAACTTATCTATGGGCAGAATATGGGCTTTTTATGGACTCCTGCAACAAGATCCTTTAGCCTTCTGGTTACTTTGGTTTGCTCAGATCCTCCAGTCTGTCAACAGACAGAACACCACACAGGTGTGTGCCTGCTCAATACAGAAAATGTCTCATTGTGTGCAGAACAGCATCGCTCCCCTTGTCTCATAGCCATCTCCTGAAGAGGGAAAAGCACCAAACTTCAGTTAGCTTGGCTACAAAATCAGTGGAACTTGGCTACCGTGAAAGATGTAGATCTAGGAATGGACGCTTTATCCCAGCCACTATTAATTACTTTCAATAGAAAGCAGAACGATTAAACAAAAAAAAGACTTATTACATGCTGTGACGGACTGAACCGTCACTGGGGCTGCTGGAGGAGCCTGAGGGCTAGCCTCCTTCCTAGCGACTACGGACCTAGGATTATGGAGACCCCCTTGTTGGGTTGAACTGGGTGTCCGGGGCCCATGGATGGCTGTTGCGGGTTAGCCTGGCCCTACAGCCGTCCAATTTCACAATTCAATAATGGCTCTGGAAACCCAATGTTAATGACAATGGATTATCCCAGCAGACGGACTAATCCCTGCTGACTCTGTTTCAAGCCTTCATTTGCATGGCCACACATCAGCCCTCCCATTCAAGTTATCGGACCAATCCCTGCTGACTCTGTTTCAAGTCCTCGTTTGCATGGCCAATAGGAAGTGGTTGTTTGGGTGGGGTTTTCAAACTGTGGTGTATAAAAGTGTGTGTGTGTGCATTCAATAAAGGAGATCCCTGTTGGAACTTACATACAGTCTGCCTGGTGTTTGTTCTGAGCTATCACAACTGGATTCGAACGGCACATAGCTGTAGTTCGAATCCCGGATTATCGGACGATCGAAGAATCAGGCGTTGCGGTCTGACATCTGATCCAATAGTAGCACAGGAGTGCCGGGAGAGTGGAACCGAGCGAGCAGGGGCTCGTTACACATGCAATATATTGCCATATAATATGTAAACCTACCCTTTGTTGCATTTGTAAGTGGCTGTTGCGCCTAACACCGTACTTTGATAAGTTATCAGACCATTTGCTAGAGTGCCAAGATCTCCACATGATACCTCTGAAAAGAAATTGATGATACAATTAAATGTTTACACTGAATACTTTTTATTTTCAAAGTTGACATCATTCATGTACACTTAAATACAGTTGCAATAATTGACACAAGACTCCAACTGTTTCAAGTACTGTATACAAAATGCTATATGTCTAAACTTATTCGGTTTTCTCATTTTATTGCAGTTGTCTTGTTATGGTCACTTTTAAATAAACATCATAGTCCCGGCTTTAAAATACTAAGAAAAGATGGATACAACTTAAAAAAGGACAAGTTAATAGTTGGAGGATTACTGCAAACATGAGATATTAGCAATCTACTTTTCAAAAATGTGTCATTTGGTTTTTTTTTGTACTGTTCTGACAATTTTATTTGCTACGATTTATAAATGAAAGAGAAAACAGGCTTTTTACTTTATATAGTAAACATTTAACAACACAAAAAAAAGCTTGAATTTATTCATTTTCAAATTGCTATTTTCACCTTTTTTTTTTCTGATTGTCAAGAAAACAGAAATACGCCAAAGACTAAAACAGAACAAAAAAATATCACCCACCACAAGGAAGCAGAGAAATATATATTTTTTAAATGTTATTCTATTTCTATGTTTTGCCATCATGCCTGATCAGTGATCATGGTCATGATTTTGATACACAATAAAATAGTATTTTTTTTTTTTTAAAAGGACAGCTATCAAGTTAGAAATAACTACACTGTAAATGTAAGCAGACTGTATTTTTGCAATTGTATCCTAGTCTTTACAGATTTGTCTGGTACATTATTTTGATTCAAATGACACTCCACTTAGAAAAGCAACACCCCAGGAGGTGTTCATTTATAGCCATTTTAAAGACTGAAAACAATTCTAAAGCCAATATCTAAAAACAGCAGTCTTGCTTACTGCCAATAGTATCGTGTCTAATGGTGGCCATACATTGTACAATTTTTGTTTGACACAAACCCTCGTTCGATTATATCTAGATTTTCCCATCAAGCATAGTGAAATGTCGATTTCCGAAATCGTTGGTTAGCCATACTAACCAACCAATTTTTGACAGACGATGGAAATTATTTCCTTTTGCGCATGTGCGGTTTTCTTGCAGCTTTTTGACGAACAAAAACCCCACTTTTAGATTTTCGTTTAGTCAGATTTTCCAACCCGATCAAACAAAGAAAAACAAAACACACGTAATTGTCCCATCAACTGTTTGATTTTCATTCAAAAGACCGTTTGTGGATGATTTCTGAACGAAAAATCGCAGTTGTATGGGCACCTTAAACTAAAAGTCCGAAATGCTAACCTACTTTGGTGAAGGCCGTACTGGACGCGTTTCCCTACCCTGTAGTGTTTACTTACAACATACTATTAGTCATACCAGGGGTGGTTTCAGACAGGGCAGATATTCAGTCGTTCAGTACTTGCACATGTTAGAACAATTCCTCTAGACAAGCAAGAGTAAATATCCTCAAGCTGCCAGAGAACCCTCCCTTCTGGTAGCGGATACAACCTGGTACTGCATTCGTTATGAGAGCAGAAACCAGCAGTTCCATCAACAATCAACCTACCAACAACTTTCTGAACATTTTCTCTTCTAGATCAGAGGTAGACTGAGACATGTCTGATTCAAGGACTTGACAATTCATATATCAGAAGCAGAATATCTAGGAACACACATTTTTATTTTAAATGAAATCTACCCGTCTATTTCACTTTGAGAGTGTAATACTACCAACACGCTACCTACATGTCATGTAAGCTTAAAAGTAGTACAAAAGGCTTGGCATTTTTTTTTACCTTAATGCATTCTCTGCATTAGGGTAAAAAAAAGCCCAGTACCTTTTTATAACCTCCATCCCCCCCCCACACTTACCTGTGGTCGCTTGTCTCCTCTGTCGGGACCAGGAAGATGCAACGCGTTCCCCAAACTTCCTGAATGTGGGGGAGAGTACTGAGGGCTGAGGAGAGATAGGATTCACGGATATGCCCGCGCATGCACAGATGTCCCCTCAGCAGCCGGCTAGTTGATGGAAACACCTGCACACAGGGAAAAGGGGGACTTGCGGTTTGGGGGCAACTAGAGAATGGGGGAATGAATTTAAAAAAAAAAAAAAGAAGTGTCCCTCCTTATATTAAAAAGATAAAATAAAGTTTTAATAGTGTAGTTCCACTTTTTGCATCCAAATTGGGATAACATCTACTTTATATTTGTTATATGTTCCCATTCACATTGCAGAACTTAAAAAAAAAAATGCTGCTTACATCTTAAATGCATTTTATTTGCATAAAAATCATACCCAACTTCCCCCTATGTAATGTTAAAGGAGGGGGCTGGAGGGAGGCGAATGTTTACTCTATAATTAACCCTGTCTGTACTGTAATGTGCATGATTGCATTATCAGCTGTAAACTAGATTTTAACACTGTCTATCCTAACAAAGGTCTGCCCTAATAAAGGCTTTGAGGCAATATATGTTTTTGTGACGAAGCTCAGTCTGACCTTCTGGATTGACTTTCACTTCTCTTCAGACTACCAATCTTTTGTTTGAAGCCCTTATCCCCCTACTTTTTTTTCCCCCTCAGATTCTTTCCTTTCCACTCTCGCCCTTCCCCCAGAGGGAACATTTCTTACAAGGCCTTAACAAAGATTAGAGTATCTCTCGCTCTCTAGTTTTATCTGTATCCTTCTCTCTTTCTTTGGTATGTTCTTGACTGTTATAAAAACATAAAATCTAGGAGGTGGGCCAGGTGATTTACAAGCTAATGTTGCATGCTCAACATAATGCCATCACCATGTAGTTCTCCTGATTAAGCTTAGCATTTTCTCATTCCTCATATAGAGGTGTTAGTAGTGGATTATGTTTGTTTAATGATATATATTCTGGATTGGTATCACCATTTGTAATGTTTGTACGTGATTACATTTCTTTCAATGTTTGTTTGCATCTCCTGGCAATTTCCTCAATAATTAAAAAAACAAAACAAATGTCTGGAATGTAAATATGGTTCATGTACACTGCATGCTTTATAAAAGGTCAAGTGAGGCTTGATCCATCACAAAGCTGTATTTGGAGGACTTTTAACTGTACACTGTCGCAATCTAAAAATATGAGGGGAAAAAAGAGCTATTTGTTGGAGCCACTGTACAAGTCCTCTGTGTGGAACACCTCTGGAGATATTAGTAAAATTACACTATACTGTTGCAAATTTATATAGGTATGCACGCCCCTCTCATGATACCAAATCTAGTTTAAGGATCTGTATTCCAGAAAGTCATTTAAAGCCCATAAATGAAAATTTAGGGCAACTAGAGACTACCTCATTTATACCTGTATTTGGTAGATAGTTGAAAATCTTTTTGGTTGTTGGAAAACTGTTTAAAATTAAGAAATGTAATGTTGCAGAACAGAAATAGAAGAAAATGACAGCATTAAAGAAGAAATGTAGACACATAGAAAAAATTTAATACAGCTGAACTGTTTTTTGTAAAAAAAAAAAAAATCCTGTGTTAATACACTAACCTGCCAAAGGTTTGTGGACACCTGACCATCACTCCTGTACACTATGACCAAAAGTAAGTGGACACCCTCCAAATGATTGCGTTCAAGCCTTTTCAGAGATCGCTATTTTTACACAATTGTACCTGGTTCAACCTGGTTAAAACAGGGTTTCCGACGCCAGCATGACCATGTTCCGGTACAGTAAGCCAGAGCTATGGATACATGGTTTGTCGAGTCTGGTGTGGAGAAACTCAAGTGGCCTGCACAAAACACCTTAAGAATAAACTGAAATGCCCGTTTCAAGATTAGTCTATTCGTCCATCAGTACCTAACCTGCCAAATGCACTTTTGACTGAATGGCACAAATTCCTATCCATGTACTCCATAATCATGTGAAAAACCTTCAAAAGAAAAATGGAAGAGGGAAGGCTGTTACAGCCACATAGGTGATCCTGAAAATAACAATTCCTATTTTAGGGAAGACACCCTTGGACAACAGCATTGTCAACCTGTGGGGAGGATGGTGTTAGCTGCAGTTTGGATTTCATTGTTTAATCAAGTCCATCTAACACCTTTTAAGCAGTTACAGAAACTTTTTTTTATGCTTTTAGGATAAAGGTTTTCCATAATAAAAAAATAAAAGCCAACCATTGCAAGACCCCCAGTCAGTGTTAAATGGTTTGTCTCAACCCTCTAACAGACCAAAATGTCTAGCAAAATTATAGATACAGGAAGTTAAAAAAAATAACAGGACATCAGATTACCAGGTGAAAATAATGTCAATGAAAAACTAATGCAGCCACCTCATTTAAGAATTGGTTAGCTGCAGTAACATTACATTTTTGGTTTTAGATAGGCTTTAAGCTGGAATATGCACCATCTTTTGGATACTTCATCTTATTATAGCCGGCTTGCCTTTTCTACCGTTTTGCCCTCATATGCTGGAGACATATACTCACAGGCCAGTTTATTAGGAACACCTTGCTAGTACCGGGTTGGACCCCCTTTTGCCTTCAGAACCTCCTTAATTCTTCATGGCATAGATTCAACATGGTGTTGGAAACATTCCCCAGAGATTTTGGCCCATATTGACATGATAGCAGGCCTGTGCCAAGAAAATATCCCCCACACCATTACACCAGCAGCAGCCTGAACAGTTGAAACAAGACAGGATGGATCCATGCTTTCATGTTTATGCCAAATTCTGACCCAACCATCTGAATGTCGCGGCTGAAATCAAGACCGGGCAATGTTTTTCCAATCTTCTATTGTCCAATTTTGGTGAGCCTGTGCGAACTGTAGCCTCCGTTTCCTGTTTTTAGCTGACAGGAGTGACACCCGGTGTGGTCTTCTGCTGCTGTAGCCCATCTGCTTTAAGGTTCGACATGTTGTGCATTCAGAGATGGTATTCTGCATACCTAGGTTGTAACGAGTGGTTATTTAAGTTACTGTTGCCTTTCTATCATCTCGAACCAGTCTATCCCTTCTCCTCCGACATCAACAAGGCATTTTCGTCCACACAACTGCCGCTCACTGGATATTTTCTCTTTTTCTGAACAATCTCTGTAAACCCTAGAGATGGTTGTGCATGAAAATCTAAGTAGATCAACAGTTTTTGAAATACTCAGACCAGCCCGTCTGGCACCAACAACAATGCCACGTTCAAAGTCACCTAAATCCCCTTTCTTCCCCATTCTGATGCTCGGTTTGAACTTCAGCAAGTCGTCTTCAACACGTCTATAGATGTCTAAATGCATTGAGTTGCTGCCATGTGATTGGCTGATTAGCAATTTGTGTTCCCAAGGAATTGAACAGGTGTACCTAATAAAAGTGGCCAGAGAGTGCATGCATATGCATTGGGTGTATAATTCACAGCTGCTACTTCATAAAAAATTCCCTTCAAGCGCTCTTCCAAAGATCTTATTCGAAAGATGATGTTCATAGTACAAGAAAGCAACAGTTTTGAACCGTACATTGTTCTTCCTCCGCTGGATGAAGAGTTAAAGGAGAACTATGGGGTTAGAGCTTTTCCCCATAGTTCTCCTTAGGGCAGTGGTTCTCAACCTGTCTAGGGCCGGGACCCCTTGGTAACATTTGCCAAGTTGTGGTGACCCTCAAAGGTAAAATTTAGGGATGACTGCTGCAGCGACATCTGGAGGCGTGGCAGGAGAACTGACACTGCTGCGCTAGGAGAGAGCTGAGGAAGATTCTCACCTTGCACAGCGACCCACAGGTTGAGAACCACTGCTATAGGCAAAGACAGGACCGGGCTCTGATCAAATGAGGGGACAGAAATAAAAATATGAACAAAATAGGTTACCATTTGTGACATATCATTCATTGTCTCAGGAGGATCTTTTCATGTACCGTGTTTCCCCGAAAGTAAGACCTACCCTGAAAATAAGACCTAGCGCTATCTTCAGACATTGGTCGATTATCCATAAATACATGAATGCCCCCTATTCAGCCCTTTAAAAAGGGGTTACACCGTACAAAATTTTGTTATCAAATCGGATTTCATACCACAAAGAAAAGCGACTTTTTGGGGGCCCAGGAGAACTGGATCACTTGTTTGTTTAAATTATATACACTGTTCGGCAATGATCAGAAGGGGAATCCTTATTACATCCACATCAGGAAACTCTCATACCTATTAAATGTGTCAGAGATCATTTGTTATTTATATTATTACATGCTCTTGTGGATTAGATTATATTGGAGAGACCACGCAGAGGTTAAAAGGATCGCCTAGCCAGACACAAATATCCAATAAGGGACAAGAGAGTAGCATTGCCATTGGTGGGACATTTTGTTGATTATAAAGCATGCAATATCACAGTTAAGGTTTAGGTCGATTGATTTTATTCTTAAACCATGGAGAGGTGGTGATAGGAAATTAATGTTGAAAAAATGAGAAGTGAAATGGATACTTGAATTAAATACAATACAACTAAAGAATGAATAAATGTGGACTTTGATCTACATTTATTCCTATAAGATTTTTTCTTTTAAGAACTATGGGGAAAAACCACTTACCCCATAGTTCTGTTTTAAGGGTCACAGGAGGACATATACTAGCGTCCTCCCGTGACCCAAAGCTCATATATCGCGAGCTACAGCTCAAGGTATACTGAGACCGCCGCAGCCGGGACTGATCCCGACAATGCTGTTGAGATCCACCCAGCTTCGTGAATGACATCTGGCTCTGCCTATCTGCAGAAAGATGATCGAGAAGTGAGCGAGCGACGATATGTGTCATTGTCACACGTCGGCTCGAACTATGAGGATGAACGATTTTCACTCACCTCATAGTTCTCCTTTAGGAAAGGGTTAATGGAATGTGTTGAATTTCACAAGCAGAGTATGAAGTGTGTGGAAAATTATCCTGCTATGCCTAACAACCGAGACAAGAAAAGAGATGTAAGGAATGCAAGAGCCAAGTGGTTACAGAGTGCCAGACTACTTTCAATGAGAAGAAACTTGCATGTTTGATTACTTTTGGGCTTGAGGAAGAACCGTGTAGGGATGGTTTGAAACTGTTGCCTTCATGTACTATGTCATGACATCGTTGGCAACAAAATAAAAAAGGAGCAGACTGAGTGCTGCAATACCCTGACTTCTTTGGTTGCTAGATGCAAGAAATTGTGGACTGATTCCTGTATTGACTGCACAACCGCTAGAAGGCGGCTGGAGCGTAGTGTGGGGGTAGGGAAACTCCAGCCCTCCAGCTGTGGTGGCAGTACCAATCCCATTAGGCATTGAAAGACTGACAGCCACAGGCATGGCAACCAGAGGCAGATGCATTATGGGATTTGTGGTTTCACCACAGCTGGAGGGAACTGGAGTTTGTCCACTCTTGCCATAGACTGTTGATCCAGGGATATAATTGATCATGCAGGAAAGGGGTCAAAAGAGAA